ATCGGTTTTCTAAGGCCTGCCGTCTCATTCCAATGCCAGGTCTCCCTACTGCCCTACAAACTGCTGAGGCCCTGTTTACACACGTCTTCCGGCACTACGGGGTGCCTGAGGATATAGTGTCTGATCGGGGTCCCCAGTTCACCTCTAGAGTCTGGAGGGCGTTTATGGAACGTTTGGGGGTCTCGATTAGCCTTACCTCGGGTTTTCACCCTGAGAGTAATGGGCAGGTGAAGAGAGTAAACCAGGATGTGGGTAGGTTTCTGAGGTCCTATTGCCAGGACCGGCAGGAGGAGTGGTCGGGGTATATCCCCATGGGCAGAGATTGCCCAAAACTCACTTCGCCACTCCTCCACTAATCTTACTCCTTTTCAGTGTGTGTTGGGGTATCAGCCGGTCCTGGCACCCTGGCATCAGAGTCAGATCGAGGCTCCTGCGGTGGATGAGTGATTTCGGCGCTTGGAGGAGACATGGAACGCTGCGCATGTCCATCTGCAGCGGGCTATCAGTAGGCATAAGGCGAGCGCCGATCGCCACCGCAGTGAGGGTCCAGTTTATGCACCTGGAGATCGAGTCTGGCTCTCGACTCGAAACCTGTCCCTTCGCCTGCCCTGCCGGAAGCTGGGTCGGCGGTTTGTGGGGCCATTTAAAGTCCTGAGGAGATTGAACAAGGTATGTTATAGGTTACAACTGCCCATAAATTACCGCATTAACCCCTCGTTCCATGTGTCTCTCCTCAGGCCGGTGGTAGCTGGTCCACTCCAGGAGAATGAGATACGAGAGGCTCCTCCGCCCCCACTGGACATCGAGGGGGCTCCGGCGTACTCAGTCCGGTCCATCGTGGATTCGAGACGTCGGATGGGGGGTCTGCAGTATCTCGTGGAGTGGGAGTGGTACGGTCCGGAGGAACGGTGCTGGGTCACTAGGAGGGACATCTTAGATCCCTGCCTCTTGACGGAGTTCCACCGGTGTCATCCGACTCGCCCTGCTCCGCGTCCTCCTGGCCGTCCCCGAGGCCGGGGTCGGCGCACGGCTGGAGCCGCGCGTCAAGGAGGGGGGGGTACTGTCACGGATTCTGCCAAGGCTGCTCCTCCTCCTTGCTCGGGCAGGCTTCGGCGTTCGTCGTCCCCGGAGTACTAGCTACTGCCGATCGTTGTTTCGTTGTTTGTCTTGTTTTGTCTTGAGTAGTTACACCTGTTGTCTATTATGTTTGATTGTATAGCCTATAATTACCCTTGTCTCACGTTTGGTATTTGTGTGTTATTATTTTGTGTCTAGTCGGTATCGGCATTGCTGTATTTTCCATATTACGTGTATGGTGTTTTTCCCTCCAGGTTCGGAGGTTTTGTTTTGTGCTTTACATTCAGTAAAGTAAGTCTGCTAGTATCTCTGTGTCCTGCGCTTGACGTCACTCGCCGCATACACATCGCACCTTGACACTTGCGTTGTTATCATTATTAGCGGCTTGGATCTTTTTTAATATTGAGGATTTATTTATCTTTCTCTGTTCATCTGAGTAACAAAATTTATTTGTGCATGAGGCAGAAATAATGCGGTGCGACTCGAGTTTCTCCATCAGCTGGAAGACGGTGTCCCTTTTTGGTCAGTATCAGTGGAGGAAAGGGAGAGCGGAGAGATGTTGAGAGGCGGACCCTCAGTCTGCTGCTCTCTCCCTCCGCTGAGACTGACCAACAGATGCAGGCACCATCAACCCAGTAAAATAAAAATATAAACACAACATGTTACAGTTCATATAAGGAAATCAGTCAATTGAAATAAATTCCTTAAGCCCTAATCTATAGATTTCACATGACTGGGCAGCGGTGCAGCCATGGATGGGCCTTGGAGGGCACAGGCCCACCCACTTGGCAGCCAGGCCCACCTACCTGGGAGCCAGGCACCGCCAATCAGAATGAGTTTTTCCCCACAAAATGGCTTTATTACAGACAGAAATACTCCTCAGCACCCCTCAGCTCAATAAATATGGGTCCAACCTTTACATGTTGCGTTTATATTTTTGTTCAGTATAAATTATTTAAATGTATGCTCACTCAACTGTGCTTCACAATTAATACAACAACTGATCTATTACCGGTGTGATCATATAGCCTACCTCAAATGTTGCCCACCAAAAATTGAGGGAGCATTGGTTGGCACTATGCATTTGGGCAGTTAGCGTTCTCCTGGCATCCACCAAACACAGATTAGTCCGTCGGACTGACAGATGGTGAAGCGTGATTCATCACTCCAGAGAACGTGTTTCCACTGCTCCAGAGTCCAATGGCGGCAAACTTTACACCACTCCAGCCGACACTTGGCATTGCGCATGGTGATCTTAGGCTTGTGTGCGGCTGCTCGGCCATGGAAACCCATTTCCTCCAGAGGCAGTTTGTAACTCAATAGTGAGTGTTGCAACCGAGGACAGACGAGCTGAGCCGTTGTTGCTCCTAGATAATTCCACTTCACAATAGCAGCACTTACAGTTGACCGGGGCAGATCTAGCAGGACAGAAATTTGACGAACTGACTTGTTGGAAAGGTGGCATCCTATGACGGTGCCACAGTACAAGTCACTGAGCTCTTCATTAAGGCCATTCTACTACCAATGTTTGTCCATGGAGATTGCATGACTTTGTGCAAAATGTTATACACCTGTCAGCAACGGGTGTGGCAGAAATAGCCGAATCCACTAATTTGAAGGGGTGTCCAAATACTTTTGTAGTGTATATACACTCAGTTGCCAGTTTATTAGGTATACCACCCTGTTCACGAAAATGGTTTGCTCTACAGACAGTGAGTCATGTGGCTTGCTATATAAAGCAGGCAGCCACACATCGAGGCATTCAGTTACTGTTCAATTGAACGTTAGAACGGGCAAAACTAGAAAAACTATGCGACTTTCAGCGTGGTATGATCGTCGGTGCCAGGTGTACCAGATCCAGTATCTCAGAAACGGCTGGCATCCTCTGCTTTTCACGCATGACAATGTCTAGGGTTTACCGAGAATGGTGCAACAAATAAAAAAACATCCAGTTAGTGGCAGTCCTGTGGTCTGAAAACAGCTCGTTGAGAGAAGTCAAAGTAGAATGGCAAGAGTCGGACAAGCTAACTGGTAGGCCACAGACAGGCAAATAACGGCACAGTACAACAGTAGTGTGCAGAAATGCATCTCGCAACGCACAACTCGTCGGTCCTTGTCATGGGTGGGCTATTACAGCAGACGACCACACCGGGTTCCACTCCTATCAGCTAAAAACAAGAAGAAGCGGCTCCAGTGGGCTCGAAATCACCAACACTGGACAATAGAGGAGTGGAAAAACATTGCCTGGTCCGACGAATCCCGGTTCCTGTGCGTCATGCTGATGGCAGAGTCAGGATTTGGCGTAAGCAGCATGAGTCCATGGCCCCATCCTGCCTGGTGTCAATGTTACAGGCTGGTGGCGGTGGTGTAATGGTGTGGGGAATGTTTTCCTGGCACACGTTAGGTCCCATGATACCAATTGAGCAACGTTTGAATGCCACAGCGTATCTGAAAATAGCATCCATTCCCGAAGAATTCAGGCTGTTCAAATCAAATTGTATTTGTCACATGCTTTGTAAACAACAGGTGTAGACTAACTGTGAAATGCTTACTTACGGGCCCTTTCCAACAATGCAAAAAAAAAAATAATATAATAAATTGTAGAGAAAATCAAAAAATAACATGAGGAATATATAGAAAAATAATAACACAAGGAGGAACTTCCGGTACTAGTTGGCTGTACCTGATAAACTGGACACTGAGTGTATATACAACATGGGCCAGCACACCCTTTTGCCCTCTGAACAGCTTAAATTTGTCTGGGCATGGACTCTACAAGGTGTCAAAAGCGTTCCACAGGGATGCTGGCCCATGTTGACTCCAATGCTTCCTACAGTTGTGTCAAGTTGGCTGGTAGTAGATAGCTCGTTCCATCTCATGCCACAGATGCTCAATTGAATTCGATCTGGTGCAGGTCACTGCATTAAGCTGAATTCACTGTCATGTTCGTGGAACCATTCCTGGACAATCCTAGCCTTCTGTCATAGGACATTATCCTGCTGAAAAAATTTATTTGCAGATGAATACACTGCTGCCATAAAGGGATGCACCTGATTGGCAATGATGTTCAGATATCCTGTGGCATTCAAACATTGCTCCACTTTTATCAAGGGGCCCAATGTGTGTGCCATGAAAACACACCCCACACCATCACACCACCACCACCAGCCTGCAATGTTGACACACGGCATGATGGATGCATGTACTCCTGTGGTTTTCTCCATACCCTTGTCCTCCCATCAGCATGAAACAGCAGGCACCGGGATTCATCAGACCAGGCAATGTTTTTCCAATTCTCCAGTGTCCAGTGTTTTTGCTGAAAGAAGTGGGCTAGATTACCTTCGGGTGGTGGACCATTCTTGATAAACACGGGAAACTGTTGGGGGTGAAAAACTCAGCAGCGTTGTAGTTCTTGACACACTCAAACCGGTGCGCCTGGCACCTACTACCATACCTCATTCAAAGGCACTTAAATATTTTGTCTTAACCATTCACCCTCTGAATGGCACACATACACAATCCATGTCTCAACTGTCTCAAGGCTTAAAAATCCTTCTTTAACCTGTCTCCTCCCCTTCAGTTACACTGATTGAAGTGGATTTAACAGGTGACATCAACAAGGGATCATAGCTTTCACCTGGATTCACCTGGTCAGTCTATGTCATGGAAAGATCCGTGTACACTCAGTATATACTGTATACACTGATTTTTTGATTGATTCCGATATAAGTGACAGGGAAATGATGGTTAATGGAGCAGGCATTGGAAGATTCATGAGAACAGATGGAAAGATAAGAACATCTATTGAGGAACATTTAGGGAAAAAACATCTGTTGAAAACCAGTCAGTGCTTGAGTCAGTGCTTGAGGGGGATAAAACAAACAGTTCTGTTGTCTCTAAATTTTGGAACATCTTTCTTTCAGGTGGTGGGAGAGTGGAGGTTTAGTAAAATCCACTGTGACATCTTTGTCACCCTAGATGTCATGATGTGCACTGCTAGCATCCTCAATCTCTGTGCCATCAGCATTGATCGGTAAGTGCCCTTGAAATAGTTGAATCTTGGCTGGAGGCAGGTGCCATTGTGGATTTGTAATGAAAAGCTTTAGATAAAAAATCTTTAAGCAAATTCATTGGAGTCTGGGCCTAGAAGGTCTACTTGCAAACCCATCTGGTACTTTCTATTGAATACCAATTCCATTATTTATGGACTATGCAGTATGCCATTTTCATTTTGCATGATTTTCCACTTCACTGAATTTCATGTCACTAAATGCATATATAGAACAAAAATTAACCTTGGTTATGCGAATACTTACCTCAGAGGTCATTTAAATATTTATTAAAGTAATTTGTATTTGAATACAAAATGTCTGCACATTCTGTTTGTGTGGAGAGTATCTTTGAGTTGTTTATACTGCAGATGCTTATTTTAGGTTTTTAAGATATTACTCACGCATGTTTCATAATTAAATCTGTACTATTGAATAAAGAGTACCCTGAAAGTTAGAGTCCTTAATTGAAACAATAACAAAGTGGCCAACTGCCTCTGTTTTGGTAAACAGCTGATGGATGGGCCTGGAGAAATGTAACCACTGTCAAATTCATAGACAGAGCTATGGATGCAAGGACTGTCCATCCATGATATCAAAATTATAATTTTTGAGGCTATATAGTGTGTGTTTACATTTACATTGTTTACAAACATTGGAGTAAAACAAATGTATAGTTTGTGTTCTGATGGAGTACGACAGTTGAACTAAGCTCATGAGGCATTTATAAGTTCTATTCTTCAAGAATCAATGGGTGTATACTGTATATCATTAATTTATAAGTCCAAAAATTGATATAACAACTAAGGATTCTAACTTTAAGTGCTTAAGTTGCCTTAGGCCTCGTACCTAAAGGTTCCCAACTAAATTACAATAAAATAAAGTAAGCCTGTAAAATATTTGTTTACTTCCTATGGATGTCAGCTCACTCAATAATAAGGTCACACAGCAGGCTAGAGGTTAATTGATAAGGTCCCCTACCAGGGATGTAGTGGAGGGTAATGCATATAAACACATTAAATGCACTTTAAGGGTTAATGCACCTTTTTATTTCCTGAATAGCATTTACACACCTGTTACGCTAAATTATACTTTCTTAGCGTTTACTGTACGTTAGTCGTCTACCGTCATCTCAGAGTTTACCCACCTTTTTTTTCTACCCCTACATCCCTGATGTCCCTACCAAGACAATATAGAGAAAGGTGTTTGCTGTCGCTCCACGTCTAGTCTGCACAGTAGAAAAGCCATATTCAAATGTGGCATATCTGTGTGTACTTGTGCAATCGGATCATGTCTGGCAGTTTATCTAACCCTACGGTGTTTTCCCCTTGTCTTTCCTTCCCTCTGCTTCCTTCCACAACAGATACACAGCAGTCGCCATGCCCATGCTGTACAACACACGCTACAGCTCCAGAAGACGAGTCACTGTTATGATCTCAGTGGTGTGGGTTCTGTCCTTTGCAATATCATGCCCCCTGTTGTTCGGCCTAAATAACACAGGTAATAGCAGGAACTTTGAGCTACCTTGCTCTGCTGCACTGTAATCTTTACTATTGCTCAGTGCTTCCACAGTATTTTGGCTTTTATGGCACTAAGGAGTAGACTCAGTATGATAATTATAGGTGATACCAAACTGTATGACTGCTGTGAATGGGGCAAACAGTGTGGTGGTTAGTTTGAATGCTCCTCTTTCATACACATAGTATATTCATCCATAATGGCCCTTTTGGGAATTTTGCACTGTATTGAGCAACTCAGTGGCCTTGTGGTTAGAGTGTCCACCTTGAGATTGAAAGGTTGGGAGTTCGATCCCTGGCAGAGTCATACCAAAGCCTGTATAAACGGGACCCGATGCGTCTCAGCTTGGCACACAGAATTAAGGAGGTACACCGAAGATAAGACTCTGCAATAGACTAGCGTCCTGTCCAGGGGTTGTACTTGTACGTCATGCTACAGAGAATGGCTACTGGTTTGACTGGTATTGTTGTTTTTGACCGCCGCAATCATTTTGTTTTCCTCCCTAGCGACTCGCGACGAGGCCCTGTGCATCATCGCCAACCCGGCTTTTGTGGTGTACTCCTCCATTGTGTCCTTCTACATCCCCTTCATCATCACTCTGCTGGTCTACGTGCAGATTTATGTGGTGCTTCGCAAGCGGCGGAAACGGGTGAACACAAAGCGCTCGTGTCAAGGGACAGGCGACCACGACACAGGCACCACGTTAAAGGTGACTAGGCTGCAAATCATGTTTTTCAAAATTGCTCGACACACTTAGGAGAGCCAATTCAATTAAATCCATTGTCAACAACGTGTCGTGTTTTTGGAGAATGTAATCAAACATGAGGAAGCTAAATATTGTCCACAAAGTGTTTGCTATTTCCAGACATGAGAGGCCAAACACATAGATCATGATTTTGTTGGAGGGGGCAAGAAAAACACACGAGATAGCATTCTAGCCGGGATTGAAAAGGGCACACGCAATTATCCTAAGGCGTTTTAAGAGGGTTCTCTTCGTGTTAGCAACATATTCTGCTGTAATTGGTCATTTCACACGACAAATCCCACTTGGTCATGTTACATTGGCCTACTAGATTGGCAGGAGAGCTGAAATGCAACAGTAATTATGATGTGCCTTTAAGTGACCTTTTCCTTTTCTGGATATTGATTTTAGTGGCATTAAAGCATATCAATACAGGGAAAAAAAGCAGTGTTTCTCTCAGACCTCTACATTTTTCATGTACATGCATACCTTTGTCTTAGTGTGGGGAAGAGATGGAGAAGAGAAAATACATTCACAAAGTATTAGGCAATTGCAAGGCAAATTGTCCTCATCACCTTTGTACTGTGAGTCAATAAACCATTTCTGAAACAATATTGTCAGTTTAACTCTGTGGACTTTTTATTTCTGCGCTATTGAGTGTTATAGACGTAATGATTCCAATGGGAATCAAATAACAGCGTACACTCAATAGAATTACAGTTTGTTTTGTTAAGAGTGACTCTGAGACCATTTGGTGCCTGTGCAGTGACTGTGTGATAGCTTCTCTCCCCTGTTGTTGTTTCAGGAGAAGTGCAGTCACCCAGGAGATGTGAGGCTGTGCACTGTGATTGTGAAACCTAATGGGAGCTTTCCTGTCAACAAGAAAAAAGTGGTGTGTCAAGTATTTGTAGTGCTATTTTTACAGAATAACTCTCATAAGGGAATGTCTTTACTTTCAAAGGCAGTTAACAAGGTGTCACCTCTATTGTTCCCATTTCTCCCTGTAAGCAAGATATAGAAGTTACTGCTACGTTACTGCTACTACTACTACTACCACTACTACTGCTTTAACATCGTTGTTGATCTCTGTCAGCAGGTCTTCATCAAAGAGGTGGCCCACGAAGGGGACGACATGGAGTTGGACGAGATGACCAACTGCAAACCTCAGAAACAGAAGAATGTGGACAATGCCACCGCCACGCCTGTCAGCCACCAACTCCTCCTGCCAACCAAGGCCAAAGCCAGCCCCACCTCCGTGCCCCACTCCCCGCCTGAGGGCTCCCTCAAAGTGGAGAAGAACGGCGACTCGAAGGACATACTGGCAGAAGTACCCAAAGTGGCTAAAGCGTTTCAGACCGAGGCCTTACCCAACGGCAAAACCCAGACGTCTATCAAGCAGCAACCCACTCTCATGAGTAAGAGGAAGATCTCCCAACAGAAGGAAAAGAAAGCCACTCAAATGTTAGCCATAGTCCTGGGTAAGCCGTTAACACGAATACTACTTTGAATGTTTGAAAGTACTGTTGAACTTTTCAGGAGAGAGGAGGGATACAGACATTGGGGTAAAGTCTATTTTACTTTCACACGTCATAAGCAATAAGACAACTCAATAAAAAGTAGCTGATATCTTTATTTGACTAGCTGTAGTTTTCTGATGCCCTGTATAGGTATATGTTATTCACTTAGTAATCCTTAACTTGAAAAGAGCTTACAGGCAGAAAGTCAGACAATGATGCAGCATTGAGGATAAATCAATTTTGATCAAGTTTAACTTCAGGACATGATTCAATGTTGACATCAATCCAGTAACACGGTACGCGCTGGTTTCTCCGATCTTTTCACATTTTGTCTTCTCTCTCTCTCTTTTCAGGTGTATTCATCATATGCTGGCTTCCTTTTTTCATCACTCATATCTTGAACACCCACTGCACCACATGCAAGGTTCCTGCGGAGATGTATAACGCTTTCACGTGGCTGGGGTATGTGAACAGTGCTGTGAACCCCATCATATACACCACTTTCAATATAGAGTTCAGAAAAGCTTTCATCAAGATCCTGCATTGCTAAGGTTGGCATTTGAGGAGGGAGCTGGAATGAAGAAAAGCGTCACTTAAAGCCTACTAAAATATACCTCATCCACGTGAGGACAGTGCACATGACCATAAATCTCAGTGATGATCTTTGAGAAATGGAGAGACTGAGTAAATGCCACACATGAAGTCATGGGGACATTTGTGGATTATTCTGTGGACTCATGTTCTCCCACATGAATGTATATCGAGGAATAACGTCTTTATCAATGAACTGTTTCTTGGAAATGTCATATTGTTCTTAACCATCGTGCTTGTCGCTTAAGAGCCATCCATGTAAGGAAATGTAAAGAATACACAAGAAGATGTGTTTAAAAACACTAAAGCAAGCCACCTATTTAACCTATATATTGTATATAATGTCTTTTGATAATGGCTGAATCCCGCAAAGAACAATTAGATATCAACAAATCAGTGTTCATCTCAGTATTAAACCTGATAATATTAAACTAGTCATCTATGAGCTCTGCATCTTTAAACCACCCACAGAATGGAATGTGTGTTACATAGAGATGAAATATTTTAACTCATAGTTTTCTCACTGGTCTGCTTGGCAAGAGAGGCAGCAACATATTTGTGATAAATTAAATTATCATTATTATGATTAATAATATGAATATGATTATTATTATTGTTATTAATGTTATTATTATACAGCCACCACTGGTCAATTGTTCCTGTCTGGCTCGGAAGGACCATGAAAAAGGTTTTTGTACAATTATTCTTTAAATTTGCTGTACATGCTTTTTATAAACACATTCTATGTGATTATATGCCTGCAATGAAAATGTGATGCATGTTACATTGCTCCTTTACATGGATTCTCATGAAAGGTAAGTTTGAACTGAACTGAATATGTCCAATAAATGAAGTTATGAGATATGTGCTGTGCCATGTAAATGTCTTATTCTTTGATACTCTACATACTGTTTAGATACTGTAATACTTTCTAAATAACTAATACAATAATACAATGCAAAACGTTATACCACTACTAGGCTGAATACTCTATTATAATTGGTCAAGAGGGTGTTGATTATTTTCCTGTAAATACACTGCAAAAAATTATATGGCAATGAAGTAGTTCCAACAAAGAAGTGTAATGGGTTCGCACTAAAGAATATGTAGCATAAAGCTTACTTTATTATTAGATGTTTTAACTTTTTTTTTACTTCATCAGGAATAGTGTACACAGACGTTTCGGCTTTACAGCCTTATTCAGTCTGTAGGTAAAATTTTATTTCATTCAAAACAGTATTTGTAAAAAAATATATAAGTGCCTCACACTATTCCATATCAATGTTTTCTGCAAATGATTTGAATATTCTCTGTGCAGGAAACCACAGTGGGGCACACACAAACATGTTGAATGTGCCCCACTGTTTAAAGTGAAAATTCGGATACAATATATCCACTTCAAAAAGACAAATCAACAACAAGTCTTTAGCGTGAATGCCCTTTAGTTTATGTGGCATGACAGGCACCGTCTCGTAGGATATTATAATGTAATTAGCCCCATGGTAACCATTATCAGAGACTGTGGTTAGAGTCGCTCTACAGAAGATCAAAGCTGCAGGTTCTGATGACAGAGCAGAAATATGTACAGTGGGGAAAAAAAGTATTTAGTCAGCCACCAATTGTGCAAGTTCTCCCACTTAAAAAGATGAGAGAGGCCTGTAATTTTCATCATAGGTACACGTCAACTATGACAGACAAATTGAGATTTTTTTTCTCCAGAAAATCACATTGTAGGATTTTTAATGAATTTATTTGCAAATTATGGTGGAAAATAAGTATTTGGTCACCTACAAACAATCAAGATTTCTGGCTCTCACAGACCTGTAACTTCTTCTTTAAGAGGCTCCTCTGTCCTCCACTCGTTACCTGTATTAATGGCACCTGTTTGAACTTGTTATCAGTATAAAAGACACCTGTCCACAACCTCAAACAGTCACACTCCAAACTCCACTATGGCCAAGACCAAAGAGCTGTCAAAGGACACCAGAAACAAAATTGTAGACCTGCACCAGGCTGGGAAGACTGAATCTGCAACAGGTAAGCAGCTTGGTTTGAAGAAATCAACTCTGGGAGCAATTATTAGGAAATGGAAGACATACAAGACCACTGATAATCTCCCTCGATCTGGAGCTCCACGCAAGATCTCACCCCGTGGGGTCAAAATGATCACAAGAACGGTGAGCAAAAATCCCAGAACCCCAGCTGGGACCAAAGTAACAAAGCCTACCATCAGTAACACACTACGCCGCCAGGGACTCAAATCCTGCAGTGCCAGACGTGTCCCCCTGCTTAAGCCAGTACATGTCCAGGCCCGTCTGAAGTTTGCTAGAGTGCATTTGGATGATCCAGAAGAGGATTGAGAGAATGTCATATGGTCAGATGAAACTTTTTGGTAAAAACTCAACTCGTCGTGTTTGGAGGACAAATAATGCTGAGTTGCATCCAAAGAACACCATACCTACTGTGAAGCATGGGGGTGGAAACATCATGCTTTGGGGCTGTTTTTCTGCAAAGGGACCAGGACGACTGATCCGTGTAAAGGAAAAAATGAATGGGGCCATGTATCATGAGATTTTGAGTGAAAACCTCCTTCCATCAGCAAGGGCATTGAAGATGAAACGTGGCTGGGTCTTTCAGCATGACAATGATCCCAAACACACCACCCGGGCAATGAAGGAGTTGCTTCGTAAGAAGCATTTCAAGGTCCTGGAGTGGCCTAGCCGGTCTCCAGATCTCAACCCCATAGAAAATCTTTGGAGGGAGTTGAAAGTCCGTGTTGCCCAGCGACAGCCCCAAAACATCACTGCTCTAGAGGAGATCTGCATGGTGGAATGGGCCAAAATACCAGCAACAGTGTGTGAAAACCTTGTGAAGACTTACAGAAAACGTTTGACCTGTGTCATTGCCTCTTTTAGTGTAAAAGGGATGCCACATTCCCTATTCATAGTTAATCTTGAACACTCTCCGTGGATTTTCTGCCCCCCAGTTACCTTTCTTGACATACAGTGGCTTGCGAACAAACAGAAAACTTGAGCGTGCAGAACTATGATGCTGCCACCACCATGCCTCACTGTGGGGATGGTGTTCTCGGGGTGATGAGAGGTGTTGGGTTTGCGCCAGACATAGCGTTTTCCTTGATGGCAAAAAGCTAAATTTTAGTCACATCTGACCAGAGTACCTTCTTCCATATGTTTGGGGAGTCTCCCACATGCTTTTTGGCGAACACCAAATGTTTGCTTATTTCTTTCATTAAGGAATGGCTTTTTTCCGGCCACTCTTCTGTAAAGCCCAGCTCTGTGGAGTGTGCGGCTTAAAGTGGTCCTATGGACAGATACTCCAGTCTCCCCTGTGGAGCTTTGCAGCTCCTTCAGGGTTATCTTTGATCTCTTTGTTGCCTCTCTGATTAATGCCCTCCTTGCCTGGTCCGTGAGTTTTGGTGGACGGCCCTCTCTTGGCAGGTTTGTTGTGGTGCCATATTCTTTCCATTTTTTAATATTGGATTTAATGGTGCTCGGTGGGATGTTCAAAGTTTCTGATATTGTTTTATAACCCAACCCTGATCTGTACTTCTCCACAACTTTGTCCCTAACCTGATTGGAGAGCTCCTTGGTCTTCATGGTGCCCCTTGCTTAGTGGTGTTGCAGACTCTGGGGCCTTTCAGAACAGATGTATATATACTGAGATCATGTGACAGATCATGTGACACTTAGATTGCACACAGGTGGACTTTATTTAACTAATTATGTGACTTCTGAAGGTAATTGGTTGCACCAGATCTTATTTAGGGGCTTCATAGCAAAGGGGTTGAATACATATGCACGCACCACTTTTCCGTTATTTATTTTGTATAATTTTTTTTATTTCGCTTCACCAATTTGGACTATTTTGTGTATGTTAATTACATGGAATCCAAATAAAAATCCATTTAAATTACAGGTTGTAATGCAACAAAATAGGAAAAACTCCAATGGGGATGAATACTTTTGCAAAGCACTGTATCTAGTCCTTCATCACTATCCCATGAGATGGCTCCCCACTGCACTGAGACCCTGGCTGTCTGGCCTGATACCGCCAACAATAGCAAAGAATAGGGCTATAGTAGCTTTCACACACAGAACCCCATTATTGTGCTGGTTGGATAGTATGCCATTACCAGATGCTTTTTTAACATCCAAATTGACTTACAGTACAATGAGTGCATACACTTTTAGAATGTCTTTGTCATCCCTGTGGACTTAAACCCAAGACCTTGGCGCTGTTGTTTTTTTCTGGCCAAGTGATGTGCTTTTGTATACCTTGTCTGAATTTGTTTGGCATTCAGACATTCTGACGTCACGCTATACGTCTCATCACAGGCTGCTGTGTTAATATGGGTACTTTGATTTACACTTCAAATCAAAATCAAATAAAATGTTATTCGCCACATGCGGCGAATACAAAAGGTGTAGACCTTACAGTGAAATGCTTACTTACAAGCCCTTAACCAACAATGCAGTTAAAAAATAAATACAAATAATAATAATTTTAAGTAAAAAATAGATAAGTAAAAAATTAAAAAAGCAAATAATTAAAGAGCAGCAGTAAAATAAAATAACATTAGGGAGGCTATATACAGGGGGTACCGGTACCGAGTCAATGTGCGGGGACACCGGTTAGTCGAGGTAATTGAGGTAATATATGCAAATAGTCCGGGTAGCCATGTTCAGGAGTCTTATGGCTTGGGGGTAGAAGCTATTAAGAAGCCTGTTGGACCTAGACTTGGTGCTCCGGTACCACTTGCCGTGCGGTAGCAGAGAGAACAGTCTATGACTAGGGTGGCTGGAGTCTTTGACAATTCTTAGGGCATTCCTCTGACACCGCCTGGTATAGAGGTCCTGGATGGCAGGAAGCTTGGCCCCAGTGATGTACTGGGCCGTATGCACTACCCTCTGTAGTGCCTTGCGGTCGGAGGCCGAGCAGTTGCCATACCAGGCGGTGATGCAACCAGTCAGAATGCTCTCGATGATGCAGCTGTAGAACTTTTTGAGGATCTGAGGACCCATGCCAAATCTTTTCAGTCTCCTGAGGGGGAATAGGCTTTGTCGTGCCATCTTCACGACTATCTTCGTGTGTTTGGACCATGATAATTTGTTGGTGATATGGACACCAAGGAACTTGAAGCTCTCAACCTGTTCCACTTCAGCCCTGTCGATGAGAATGAGGGCGTGTTCAGTCCTCTTTTTTTTCCTGTAGTCCACAATCATCTCCTTTGCCTTGATCACGTTGAGGGAGAGGTTGTTATCCTGGCACCACACTGCCAGGTCTCTGACCTCCTCCCTATAGACTGTCTCATCGTTGTCGGTGATCAGGCCTACCACTGTTGTGTCATCGGCAAACTTAATGATGGTGTTGGAGTCGTGCCTGGCCATGCAGTCATGGGTGAACAGGGAGTACAGGAGGGGACTGAGCACGCACCCCTGAGGGGCCCCCGTGTTGAGGATCAGCGTGGCAGATGTGTTGTTACCTACCCTTACCACCTGGGGGCGGCCCGTCAGGAAGTTCAGGATCCAGTTGCA